GGAGGGGCTTCATCTGCCCCATCCATTTACCCCTGACCTGCAGCCACTCACTCTTTCAACTCTTGCCGCTTTCACACAGCCTCTGGGGTCATCACAACAGGAGGAGGGAATTCACACTTAGAGGAGATTTTTATGAGTCTAGCCTAGAAATGGCATGTGCTGTTTCTGTCTGCAGCAATCCATTGCTCAAGAAACCGTGGTGTTCATTGCCAACTCAGATGCACCTGGCAAGTCAGGGTAGTAGTGCCTTGGTGGGCCTGGAAATATAAATATGCCTTTACCCGAGGCAGCTGCAATGATTACTTTTTAAATTAAATACATATTTTATTCTATTAGACAGTGTCTCTATGTATCCTTGACTGTCTTAGAACCTGTTATGTAGGCCAGGCTGTCCTGGAACTCATGGAGACCTGCCTGTCTCTGCCTCCTGAGTTCTGGGATGATGTGCCTTGAAGAGGCATACAGGTATTGGTGGTCTCTGCTTTAAACAAGGAGAGTGACTGCCTTATAGGGCCCTGGTTAGGATGGACATCTCTCTGAATGACACAGAAAGGAAGCTGGAGTGTGTGTGTGTGTGTGTGTGTGTGTGTGTGTGTGTGTGTGTGTGTGTGTGTGTGAGAAAGAGAGACAGAGAGACAGAGAGAGACCCACCTATGTGCTTTGAGGCTCTGCAAGCCTTCCTTATTCCTAGTGGGAAGGTGTGTGTGTGTGTGTGTGTGTGTGTGTGTGTGTGTGTGTGTGTGTGTGTCCCACCCATGTCTTTGAGGCTCCACAGTCCTTCCTTCTTTTCTAGTTCAGTCTCTCTCCAGAGTAGATCTCAACTATCCTACACTTTACCACTTGTCATAGGGTTACTCTTGCTAGGATGAAACACCATGACTAAAAGCAAGTTGGAGAGGAAAGGGTTTATTTGGCTTATAATTACACATCACTGTTCATCACTGAAGAAAATCAGGACAGGAACTAAAAGCAGTACAGGAACCTGGAGGCAGGAGCTGATGCAGAGGCCATGGAGGAGTGCTGCTTACTGGGTTGCTCATTATGGTTTGTTCAGCCTGCTTCCTTATAGAACCCAGGTCCACCAACCTAGGGAAAGGTACTACCCAAAATGGGTGGGGTCCCCTCCACCATTAATCACAAATTAAGAAATTTCTCTACAGCTGGATCTTATGGAGACATTTCCTCAATTGTGTTTCCCTCCTTCAGATAGCTCTAGTTTGAGTCAACATAGAACTAGCCAGCACACCACTAGAAATAGCTGTGTGTTTCTCCTCTACAAGGTTTTTGTAATCTAGACATGACAGTCTCACTTATCTCCTCAAGGCACAGCTCATGTCCTGTGACCCTTTTTTAATAGTGACAACCGTCTCTGCCACAGCATTAGTGACTTGCTGCATTACTGTGTTGAGCCCATGAACACGATTGTTTACAACAGGCCTAGAAGGGGGTCCTCGTTCCCTCTAGAAGCACGGAGCAACAGGAGTCCTGAGCATTTCAAGCTTCTCTGTCTAAAGTTGTGATCCCATAGCCATATGCAGCTACTTTAATTAAAATAGACGTAAGTAAAAACTCAGTTCAGTGGCCAAACTAGCTGTGTATCGCCCATTCAAAGGCAATGTGTGACTAGGGGCCCCCACTGCCCAGCACAGATATAGATTTATTTTCTTTGTGGCAGAAAGTTATTTTGGGTAGCTTTGAGTTATTAGGAGGACCTGGCTTATAAACTGTGAAGCTAGACCTCTGATCCCAGAGTCTCCAGACTTTTAATAGCTCCTTTCTTTCCCCACATTTTTACACACACACACACACACACACACACACACACACACACTTACACATTTTGGCCTAGTCTTTTCCCCTTTCAGTGTAGCCTGGGCCCCTTTCACTGTTACATAATCATCTCTCGTTATTTTCTTGCACAACCCCATTCTCTACAAGCTACTCACCACCCTCCAATATTCACAATATGCTTGCCCTCCTTTCTGTCCACTGTGAGAATGAATTAACACCTGATCTTTTAAGTTAAAATGACTTAAATATTTCTAGAATCACTTCCTTTTTCTCCTTCTTCTCTGACTGAACCAGCTCTTGCCTGGACAGCTTTTGGCTACTACTAATTCCACTTTCTGACTTTTACTGAGAACCCGTGGTGTAACAGGAAGTCGGCCAAGCATGGAGGGCTCCTCAGAACTCTTTGAAGTGGGCATGGTGGCTGTCTGTCTCTATTTTATGGCCACAGTAACCATTGTACAGAAGTGGGAAGAACATGTCCTGCTGATCTTTCTGCTTCTAGGCTTTCTCAGGCAGTCCCTCTTGACAGTACTACCAGGCTGTATTTCTAGACCACAATTACTACAGGCCATGGGAAGGGTGGGAGGTAGATACTGCAAGGCCCTGCATATTCAGTCTTAACTTCAAAATCCACCACTCCCCCCCCTCAAATCCAACAGTCCAGCTATGGAAAAACAAAACAAAACAAAAACAAAAACAAATAAAAAAAAAACTGCTACCATTTTCAGAACATTCCATTATGCAAGTTTCCCTTGAGGCTGTCTTCATGCATACTGCTTGTAATCCCTAGGATATTGTCCATCCCAGCCAGCCCCATGGCTATCTACTAGTGTTCTGGACCTCTAGGCTCTATTCCTCTAAGAGGCTAGCACTTCATCTCCACCCATCACCCACAAGAGGGTTGAAATGAACTCATGGGTCAAAATCATTCCTTGTTAAAGATACACCATACCTGCTGTATCCAACCAGGTATGGTGGATCACACTGTATGCTAGCACTCTGGAGACCAGGCTGAAGGTTTTGACTGAAGCCACCCTAGGCTACAAAGCAATGTCAAACCCAGGCTCAGCTATATAGTGAGACCTTGTCTCAAAATTCAAAAGGCGCCTAAAGTAATCAAAACAAACAAAAACACTTCAACATTCAAATTTGAGCAAGCAAGAATGACATTGGGATTAGTTTGGATATTTTTAAAGATGTCCTCCCAGATTATTTTGAATTTACACAACTCGATTGGCAATTGAGCATCCCTACTTGGGCTGCTTGTGTGTAGTATGTTGCTCTTTAATGCTCAGCTCAGTTATTCAGATGTTTATTAAGGGTGGGTTAGGGATGTCTGACACTCATTTGGTGTTGGTGCTAGCGAAACTGGCACTACTTGCTGCTCATGGAGCTGATATTCTAGAAGGGTGAATCAGACAGAACAATGGCACTCGGGACAACTTGAGCACCTTCCTGGAGTTGCTGAAGTGAGGAAATTAAGGATCTTGAGATGGAGAGATTACTTTAAATTACTGTGGTCCTTATGAGAGAAAGGAGGAGTTCTGAAGTCTCAGCCTGTCTGCACCAGCTTCTGGAGTACCAGGCAAAGAGCTGCTCCCTGCCATCTCCCCGGGGAAGCTGTCCCAGAATCCCCTTGCTTTTTTGTCCAGTGACACTTCTATTTGGACCCTTGACCTCTGGCCTGTAATACATTTGTGCTGCTTGAGACCACTAAATTTGTGGTTATTGTTGCAGTAGTGAAAGGAAAAGAGGGCATGGAATTCTTAGTTACTAACATTGTGGGGTAGGGGATGTGGTTGGCCCTGCCAGAGGATTCTGGGCCCTAGAGTGCAGAAGCCGGCTTCTGCTTTGCTTTTCCCTGTTCATTAGTGGTACACACTTAGGAAGCTGGGCTAGTGGAAAGAGTGGGATTCTGCCTCGGTGTACTGCAGAGGCTAGTACAGGCTTGAAGGGATTGGGGTGTGGGGAGGTTGTGAAGATCAAAGGGTAGGTGGCAAGTGTGTAGAGCAACTGTTGGGGGAGGGAGCTCACTGGTTAAGAATATGGGTAGAAAGATTTTTTTTTTGAGACAGCCTTTCTCTGTGTAGCCCTGTCTGTCCTAGAACTCATTCTATGGACCAGGCTGGCCTCTAACTCAGAGATCAGCCTGCCTATGTCTGTCTGTCTGTCTGTCTGTCTGTCTGTCTGTCTGTCTGTCTGTCTGTCTCTCTTTCTTTTTTGGCTTTTTGATATAGGGCTTCTCTGTGTAGCTTTGTAGACCAGGCTGGCCTTGAACTCACAGAGGTCCACCTGCCTCTATCTCTTGAGTGCTAGGATCAAAGGCATGTGCCATCACCTCACAGTTCATAGAAAGAATCGATACATTGGATGTATATTGTATTTTATGTTTTCAGTTTTTTATTGTTAATAAATAACTATTTTTGCCAGGGAAGCAAACCAGCTGTCCAGATGTTGTTCCCCAGAGTATCCCAATACCATCACCTTGCCTTGGCCACTTCTCAGTGCCAGGATTATATGTATGGGCCATCATACCCGGTTTATGTTTTTTTCTTTGTTGTTTTGGTTTTGTGACTAGATCTCATTGTCTAGCTCAGGCTGCCCTCAAACTCACAGAGCTCTGCCTGCTTCTCTGCCCCTATCTTTGCCTTTGCCGGTTTAAAGGCCTGTGCCACTACATCTGGCTAGTTTCTACAGTCGTAACTAGAAATTCTAATCTTAAATTTGAAATGGGGATGAATTTCCCACTCAAAATTTAATCCCAGAACTCAGAAGGCAGAGGCAGGAGAGGGTCTCTGAGTTCAAAGCCAGCCTGTACGTAGCGAATTCCCAGACAGCCAAAGCTACATAGAGACACCCTATCTCAAAAAAAAAAAAAAAAAAAAAAAAAAAAAAAAAGAGAGAGAGAGAGAAAAGAAAAAGAAAATTCAAAGACATTTTAAAATTTAAAAAGTAACCATTGCAGCTGACTTATTCTCAGTTCCGCCAAGATCCCACTAGGTAGATGGGTTTTGGGGATGAACCCCGGACTCTGCCCTTCCACCAGGAGTCGCCTGCCTTTGCAAAGCCTCGGTGGCCGGGTCAAGCTGGTGTCGCGAGCGGCCTCCGGCCGGGGAGGGCGCTGTGCCGACGGCACGGGGGAGGGGGGGAGGACTGGGGGCGGAGCGCTGGGCGCCGCGGCTCAGGCTCTGGCTCCGGCTGGGGCTGGGGTTAGGGCTCCAGCTCGGGCCCTGCACCTGTAACTCCGCGGCGGCGACGCTGGTCCAGCTCTGCCCCGCGCGCTGCCCCATGGCCCCGTCCCGGCTGCAGCTCGGCCTCCGTGCCGCCTACTCCGGCATCAGCTCGGTGGCCGGCTTCTCCATCTTCTTCGTCTGGACCGTGGTCTACCGACAGCCAGGAACTGCGGCAATGGGGGGCCTCGCAGGTATCCCGGGGGGCTCGGGGTGAGCGGGGGTTGGGTTGGCTGGGGTGGAGCTGTCAGCTGCTGCGCGCGGCGGCTGGGACGGCGCTGTCCCCTGGGCGGGAGCGTTGTTTACCCCGGAGAGGTCAGTGGCAGCCCAGGCCCGGGTTCCTGGGCATTGCCCGGGCCTCTGGGACCTGATGCCTTCTGAACGTGGCGCGACCTAGGGTGCCGACTGCTGGACTCTGTCGTTTGCACAGGTGTCGCGTCTCAGCACCCTGTCGATCTACCCTCTGCCCAGGGGCCAGCCACTACAGCGCCCTCTGCGCACCCACTCCCCAGCTACCCTCGCTCCTGCAACATACATACTGCTTCTGCGGGATTCCCGCGCCTCTTATAATAACTGGGGGTTCGTGGGGAAGCCCATCAGCCAGCCCCAGAGGCCCTCAACGGAGCCCAGGATGTGATGTGGCACCTAGTGTTAATAGACGTTTCCTTTGCATCTGCGTCCATCTGCTGTGGTTCCTCGGTGGGAATTTGCTAATCCTCCAAGGAGGGAACAGGAGGCATCAGTGGTGAAGGCCCAGTGCTCAGCAGTACTCTGTACCTGAAGTGCAGTTTTGGTCACGCTGTTTAATCTCTGTGCCTTAGAACTGGTGTGAAGGCCAAATATATTATTTGTACTTATTAGCATAATTCAATACTTTATGCTACGCTAAGCTATCTACTCCCCTTATTTCACCTAACCCTTATATTATTTTTCAGAAGTAAGCATCATTCTGCCCATTTTACATTTAGAAAAATGGAAGCTTAGGGTAAATAATTTGTCCAGGGTCACATAGTCACACGATGGGCTACAAGATGGCCCAGACTTGAAAGTCTGGCTGAGCTGAGTTTCATCCTTAGAACTGGGAGGGAGAGAGTGGGTTCGTGAGAGTTGTAAAATTCAGATTAGCTTACTAAAGGCATTAAAATTCCTACTAAGAAAATTAACTCATTTGTACAATGGCTCAATGAAACAATATGCTTGAGGAAAAGTATGGGTAAGGATAACATTTAATACACAATGATCTTATTCCATGACTAAAATCCTTGGCCAAAAGATTAATAAACAGAATAACTAAAACTAACCAATTCACCCTGGGCACTGTAGCAGTACTCCCCTTTAATCCTAGCACTTGGGAGCAGAGGCAGGTGGATCTCTGAACTCAAGGCCAGCCTGGTCTACATAGTGAATTCCAGGACAGCCAGTGCCACACGGAAACCCTGTCTAGGAAAAACAAAGCAAAACAGAACAAACAAACAAGCAAACAAAAAACCCAACAACAACAAAAACCAAAGCAAACAAAAATAAAACACTCACTGCCACTGAATGCACTGAGGGCTGTCCTAGGGTGGAGAAGGAGCCATAGATGTTTGTCTTCTCACAGGGTACGCATAGCTCCTAAACCGAAGCTATGCTAAGCAAAGCACTGGGGTCACCAGAGGTTCAGTGTGGTGCCCTGGCTGTGAGTTCTCAGGCCTGCCACCTGTGGACTCCTGACCTTCCTTGGACAGCCAGCATTGGCAGCTAGTTTAGGCACAGAGCCTTTCCCCTGGACACACTTTCCCCTCCTCCATACTTCCTATTGGCCCTGTTGCTTCTGGGTTTGGAAGGCACTGCCAGGGCCCAGGCTGGATGCTGAGACTGAGATAAGTTCTTTGGTTGCAGAGAGAGGGAGGGCACTCCTGGGCTAAGAGCTGCCCTCCGGAAGTAAGGGTGATCCTACCTAGCTGAGTACAAAACTGTTTGGTGGTAGTGGCTGATGGGCAAAGAGTTGTCAGGCCAAGGCCACACTTTCCCTTCCCTGCGTGGGCTTCAACAAGGGGTCCAAGACCTGCCACCCTTCTTCCTCTTTTGGGTTGAAATGTCAGCAGGCTTCTGACTTGCAAGCACCCCACTGCTGACTCGGCATTTTGCAGCCCAGAAATTGCTGAGTCACAGAGGTTCATCCCAGTGAGTTTGCACACATTGGTCAACTGTGGCTGTTGGGGACGCTGGCTTCTGGAACAGGGTATGTATGAGTGTTTGGGGTGTGGACACCCTCTTAATCCTGGCAGGAATCTGGGAGGAAGTGACTTTGCAAAAAGGCAGTGACCTAAAAAAGTGTGGGTTCACCAGAGTCCTCATTGGACCCCCACTCTGGCTCTGCACTGGGAGCCCTAGCTAACATGCCTGCTCTGTGTTTAGAAAACCATGGAAAGTTGAGCGCTTGTACCCCACATCCAAACAGCTCCATATTCTTCATAAATGAGCTTTGATAGACAGGAAATCTGGCACCCTGCGTCTTCTGTGTCCTCTGGGCTGGGCAACAGGATTGGAGTATATCCTCAGAGCCACATACCAAGTGTCTGTATTTACTCCATAGTTGCCCTTGGGTGCCTCCAAGCCCCTCATCCAGCCCAGCATCTGGTGATGCTTTCCATAACCGGCCTATGAACCTAGAGGCTAAGCAGGTCTAGCCTTGGAGTGGTAGAGTGGAACCAGGATGAGGTCTAGCTTGCTCCTGTAGCTGAGTGGGGCTGGGGACTTGTCCATACTGCCCCAAGTTTTATATACCAGGCCTCTCAGAGCCCTGTGTATCCTAGGAGGCATCTCTCCAAGGAAAGCTAGGGTGGGAAGCCTGTTTCCCTAGCTAGCATGAGTGCTGGGCTGGGCTCAGGGGAAGTGTTTAGCTACAACTGGGAGCACCTCAAGCCACCCTCTTCCTTCCCTTCATTCCCAGCACTTCTGGGCATACGTGGGAGTGAGAGTTTGGGGGAACCCCTGGCTCATGCTGATGGTCTGAGGTGACACTTCCTAGTTCAGCATTTTCTAACCCAGACACTGCTGAGTCACAGGAACTACTCTGATCTTTTTTTTTTTTTTTTTTTTTTTTTTTTTTTTCCCACATTAAGCTGGCTTCCAGAATCTTCAAGTAAGAAAAGATCTTAAAACTCAGTTATTGCACCCCCTTTTGTGAGGAGGGGGAACAAGTCACTGGAAGGTCTGTCCCCAGAATGCCTGGTAACAAAAGCTTCTTCATCTCTTGGGGCCATTTAAGAAATCATATGCAAGGGGCTTGGGAGAAAGGGAGGGAGGGAGGGTGAACTGGGAAAATAAAAAATAAAAAGAATAAAGAAAAGAAAAGACATGCAAGTCTTAAGGGTGGAGCTCGCTGTGGTAAATCGAACACTGTGCATTGAGTACAGTGCCCTGGGTTTAATCCTCAGCGCCCCTCACTGGAGAAGCCAAGGTTACTTTAGGAGGCACAGGGAGATCGCTGGGATGAAATCCTGATCACAGAGTGCAGAGCAGAGATTAGTATTCTGGCTGCCTTTGGCCTGCTGCAGCTTCCTGCCAAGACAAAGATGGGAGCATGTTTGTTTCCATCCACCCAGAGCCCAGGGGTAATGGGAACCCATTCCAAGGGGGGAGCTTGAAGGCCAGCTAAGGCTGCCTGAAAGAGTGGGGTGGGGTGGGGTGGGGGTGTCAGACTGCCAGGTAGGGAAAGCAGGGTGAGGTAGGTAGGTAAGTAGGTCGGTGGGCTCATGGCCACACAGGGAGGAGCCCAGGATTCCTTGCTTATCCAGCTGGCAGGACCTCAGGCAGGGCTCACCCATTTTTATGTTTGGCAGCACAAAAGTGCCTGGCCCTAAGTGTCCTGGTTTGTATTATCCCTGTTTTGTTTTTGCCCTGGTTGTGATAGTTAAGCTGGTCACCATAGCCCCATGGTAACTAGATTTCTCTATTTGCTACCCCCACCCTATGTCTCATAACTAAAAAGCATAAAGCATTTTAGGCATGTCAAGAGGAAAAGCAAGTTAACAAATACTTGTGCTAAGAAATTACCCAGCCTAAGAAATAAAATGCTCTGGTTGGTGGTGGTGGTGCACACCCTAGCACTCGGGAGACAGAAGCAGGTGGATCTCTGTGAGTTCAAAACCAACCTGTTCTACAGAGTGAATTCCAGGATAGGATCCAAAGCTGCAGAGAAACCCTGTCTCAAAACAAACAAACAAAAACTGTTTAGTGGTTGTCAGAGGCCCCATTGCTTCCCTCTATCCCTGTGACCTTCTTCCCAGCCAGATGTCTGTCCCTCTGAGAGGTCTGAGCACACATACTATATGCAGCTGATGATTTGAAAAGGCTCCCACCTCCTGGATGCTGGCAGCCTGATCAGCCTGCCTGCAACCCATGGCTGTACTAAGAGTTTACAGGGGCCATCTCTCGTCTCTCACTCTTTCCTGCCTGGCTTCACAGCCCTGCTGTAGGTTCATGCCAGTGGAATTAGTATTTGTCTCATTCTTGAATCTGCACCAGCAGGCACTGCCTGGTACTGAGGGTTGTAGTGTGTTCTATTGTCCTGACTGAGAGCATCCTAGGAGAAGTGTCCACCAAGCCCAGAGAGCAGGCCCAGAAGGGCCTGGGATGGTAGCCTGCCCTTTGCCTTACACTGGAAGGATGGCACGAGGTCTAGCCCAAAGCAAGTAGGCCACGTGGGTGCTGGGTGGCCTCGGGAGCCTCATGACAAAGCTTCCTTTTTCTGCAAGACCAGGGTAGAGTTGAGAGGAGCCCTGCTGCCCAAGAATTCAGCTGCAGGCTCTAGGACCCAGATTCTATCTGTGGACATGTGCCATATTAGAAACTAAAACTGAGAAACTTTTAAGATTTTATTTATATATATTTAACTTTTTATTTGCTTGTTTATTTATTTTTTTTCGATCCCTGTATAGCCCTAGTTTCTCTTTGTAGCCCTGGCTGTCCTGAAACTCATTCTGTAGGCCAGGCTGGCCTCACACTCAGAGATCCGCCTGGCTCTGCCTCCCAAGTGCTGGAATTAAAGGCATGCACCACCACTGCCCAGCTAACATAGTATTCTCAAGCCTGGTGTGGTGGTACATGCCTATAATCCTAGCACTTGGGAGGTTGAGGCAGAAGGATCACAAATTCAAGGCTAGCTTGGGCTATATAGGACTTTGTCTGAGCCTTTTGATGGCTTGCGCCTTTAATTCCAGCACTCAGGAGACAGAGACAGGTAGATCTGAGTTTGAGGCCAACCTGGTCTGAAGAGCTAGTTCCAGGACATCCAAGGCTACACAGAGAAACTCTACCTCAAAACAAAACAAAACAAAAAATAAAACAAAACAAAAAAGACCTTGTCTCTCTCAAAAGAAGTAGAAGAGGAAGAAAAAGTTGGTGAAAGTAAAAACTATAAAGAATGTCATGGTTTTGTTTTCCACAAATCTCTTTAATGCCTGGCTGTTGTTTGAAATGTGTTTTAGTCTGTTGTCTTTTTTTGAGGGACTTTGGGGGGCCCACCACCCAGCTCCCAAATAAATCACACATGGGGTCTTACTATTACTTAATGAATGTCTGGCCTTAACTTACTTGTTTATAGCCAGCTTTTCTTATCTTTGATTAACTGTCTTTTCCCTCTTGACTTTTATCTTTTTTTCTTCCTCATATCTCACTTTCCTTCTTACTCCGTGGGTGGCTGGGTGGCCGGGTGGCCCGGTGGCTCTGTGGCCGGGTGGCCGGGTGGCCGGGTGGTCAGGTGGCTGGGTGGCCGAGTGGCTCTGAGGCTCTGTGGCTGGGTGGCCGGGTGGTCAGGTGGCTGGGTGGCCGAGTGGCTCTGTGGCCAGGTGGCCGGGTGGTCGGGTGGCTCTGTGGCTGGGTGGCCAGGTGGCCGAGTGGCTCTGTGGCTCTGTGGCTGGGTGGCTGGCCCCTGAAGTCCTCCTCCCCTTGTCCTCTTGTTCCCCCTTTTCCTCGTTCCTCCTATTTATTCTGTCTGCCTGCCAGCCCCACCTGTTCTTTCTCCTGCCTTGCTATTGACCATTAAGCTCTTTAGTAGATCATCAGGTGTTTTAAACAGGCATAGTAACACAGCTTCACAGAGTTAAACAAATGCAGCATAGACAGAAGTCCATACACCTTAAAATAGTATTCTACCACACCTGGCTTCCTGGAAGGCAGCTGAAGCCCCATGCTTCCATGTTCAAGTGGTAATATCACATCCCATAGATGTCACATCACTGTCATAAGGGCCAGTCTTCTCAATGTCACTGTGTGAGTAGATATGGCCTAGTGGACTTAAGGGCCCTAGTATCAGGGCCACTGGCCTAGAGGTCAAGTAGGAGGAGGCTGCAACCTGACAGGCAGGTGCCTGGGTCCTGCTGACTGAGCCTGTCCCCACAGGTGTCCTGGCACTCTGGGTCTTGGTGACTCATGTGATGTACATGCAGGATTACTGGAGGACCTGGCTCAAAGGGCTGCGAGGCTTCTTCTTCGTGGGTGTCCTCTTCTCAGCTGTCTCGGTCTCAGCTTTCTGCACCTTCCTGGCATTGGCCATCACCCAGCACCAGAGTGAGGACCATCCAGGGAAAGGAGGGAGGGAGAGGGAGGGCTTGAGGGTAGGGAGGAACCTGGAAATATACCCTGGGACTCTTGTCCAGGTTCTGGGGACTGCATGAACCACTTGACTTCTGCTGCTGGGGTTCCTCACTGTTGAAAGTGGGGAGGATGAGAGCCCCCACCTCCTCAGGGCAGGAGGACTCCAGACTGGTGTGAAGTACCCAGGACAAGCATGACCTGCATGAATACCTGCCTCCCCAGAGTTGCTGGAGTCCTTTATTCTCTGCCTCATTCCAGGAGGGCAGCACCCCCTGGTGGCTCTAGTAAGAGGTAGCCAGATGCCCTTCCCTACCTGATGCATGCAGGTTGGAAGTGGATGGTTCAGACCTGAGAGCCAACTCTGACCTCCTCTCATGCCCCAGCTTTGTGACTAGGCATGCAGGGGTACTTCTAAACCTGTGCCACATACATCAGTCTTTCGGAAGCCTGGGTTCAGAGGCGCAGGCTATTGGAATGTGGATGGACAAAAAGGGGGGGGGGGTCCTGACTGTGGTGCTATAGGTCATCTCTAAAGTTGTCATCTGGTGCCTCTTCCCTCCAGGTCTCAAAGACCCGATCAGCTACTACCTCTCCTGTGTCTGGAGCTTCATCTCCCTCAAATGGGCCTTCCTACTCAGCCTCTATGCCCACCGGTACCGGGCCGACTTTGCTGATATCAGCATCCTCAGTGATTTCTGACCCAGGGAATGAGGTCACTCCAGCCTGGGGTGGGGGTGAGGGCTCAGGACCTATACTCAGCTTCTGAGTTAGCAAGTGAGCCTGCCTTAAACCCTGGGGACTCCAGAACCATGGCAGAGCATAGACAGCGGGCCAGTTCAGTTCCCCCAGAAAGCCATCTGGTCCCCTTTCTGGAGAAGACAGAACTGTGGAAGGGGCGCTGCCAACCTGCCCATTAGCCTGGCTGGAGGGCAGCTTAGCTTTTTCCAGATGGATCTATTTTCTTAGCACGCTGAGGAACCTTTGTAAGTAGGGCCATGATAATGAACTCAAGGTGGTAAGGGTTAGGATTGTGAGGTCTAAACATATGGCTAGTGCCAGGGACAGGGTTCCTTGCTGCCCCAGGCTTCATTAAAGCACGCGTGTATGTATGTGTGTGTGTGTGAGAGAGAGGGGGGGGGGTGGAGAGAGATCTGGAAAGTTTGATCAACTAAAGAATCTCTACTAGAGATCTTCAAATCCCATCCCAGCACCTCTGTTCTGTTGTTCTCAAGGGTCAGGCAGCTGAATTCATCAGTCCCTAGGGAAGTGACAATTGGCTCTTTCCGCAAGCTGAAAAACGGAACGGTGTCTCTCCTCCTACCTTCCCATCCAGAGTTTGTTTCCCATGAGGGTGCTAGAGCCAGCCAACCATTCCTATGTGTCACACATGCACACATGACCACATATCACCAGAGCCTACTACTCTGATGAGGCTAGACCAAGGACCACTGGGAACATACCCCTGCACCTAGAAGGGCTTTGGGATGGGGGGCAAGCTGGTGGGGGCTAGAGGGAGCTCTACAGCTGTAGTCTTGAGTCTCCAGCCTTGAACTCACCTGCCCCTCACTGCACAAGATCACACCCCACCCATGAGGACCTTCTCCCTGCACCAGACCCCAGCATTGGTGTTCATCTTTACCTCTCTCCTGAATGGACACGGGCCCAAGGCCTTACCTAAGCAGAGAGGGAGGGCAGGGGCTGCCACACATCCTTCTGTGTTAGGATGTCATTTTGCACGTCTGCTTTTCCACCCGGGGCCTGCTCCTCGCTCTCTGCCTTACCTGTGTCACTGTCACTTTAGCAGAAATACAGCGGCCATTTTTAATCAGCCTCAGGGTGTTTCTTGGGGTGGGGGGAGTCTTGAGAGGGGACTGTAAGAGTGGACAATGGAGGGAGGCTCTACCTATCTGATTATTTCTCTAAGGCAAGCCCTGGGCTAGCAGGCAGCCTGCACCTTCTCGACATAAGGAGACCACTAACTCAGACCTCCTTTGCTCTCCCAGCCCTGCTCTATGGTGCTAGGATCCCCACAGTCCCAACATCCCCTGCAGATTCCAAATCCACCCTAGGCCAGGAAAAGGGAATCTTTTTTTTTTTTTTTTTCTCCTACCCCAAACAGACTGCTCAGGTGTCCAAGGTGACCAGGCCGGGTAGATTTAGAACCAGAAAGACAAGAGCTGACACCCTTTTCTTATGTTGTATGCTGGGCACACTTTTTCCTGGCCTCATCTACCCTTTTGCTTTATGGTCTGTGCTTCAAACACCACGGTGTTTTAGAGCAGCATCTTTTACCATCTTTTACCGAAAGATACGCGAGGCAGTGACTGTTCTGATGCCAGCTAGGACCTAAGCCCAGGTGTGTCTGCTTCATGACCTTTTGGGGTGTCTCAACAGATTGAGTCTGAGAACTGGTCCCCGTACCCCACAGGGCCCAGTGTGTGGGGCTCAGCCCCGAATCATCTCCTTTTTCACCTGGGTTGGTAAGCACATGTTTGGAGCAGGTTTTTCCTGCATGCAGGAGTCATGGGAGGGCAAGTGACCAGAGGGTCTGAGTTTGGCCCAAATGTGCCCCCTTTCTCATCCCATCTCAGGATGCCGAATACACACCCCCCACTGATGATATCTCACTAACATCTAGGATACGTACTCACAAGACTTTAAAGCAAATAAAACATTTATTGTTCAGGTTTTTTTTTCTTTTTTTTTTTCTTTTTTACAAAAAACATGCATACATACACAGGTATGGTAGGTCTTGGGGAAGACACACACACACACTCTTGCACACGCACATGCGTACATACGCACACACAAACACACAAATACTCTTTCTTGGCCCCAGGCCTAGACCTCAAAAGCCTTGAAGACTTCTGAGGTGGCCTCCCCTCCCCCATGTCTGTCTACTCTCCCACCTTATTCCCCCCTCAGTCAAGCTAGTCCTATGTGGGGCAGCAGTCAGAACTGAGGTGGAGGGAACCCCAGAAACAGAAGGCAGGCTCATACTGGGAGCAGTGACCAGGCATCCCTGGGATTGTGTTGTGCTTTTAAGGGGAGATGAAGGTTTGGCACCATTGGGTCAGGAAGCACAGGGCTCACAGAGACCTGTCTGCTGCACCAGGGCACTGAGATGGTTCACATAGGTAGGACGGTGACCAGATAGGAGGCTTGCTGGTGATAGTCACAGCGAGAGCAGTTCAGAATGGTTCTCAGAGCCCAGTGCTACCAGAAGACAACTGACGGAGCAGGTGAGAGGAACTCTCCTGTCCTCAGGAATAGGGGACCCCTTGGCTCCTCCTACTCCTCTAGCCCTTCAGAACCTGGGAAGGGCCGCCCTGGCCGAGGCCAAGTTCACATTTCTGTATGGAGCCTGGGGCGGTGTGCAAAACCTGGGGTCTTCCGGGTTAAGAATAGTGGTAGTGGTAGGCCCACCTGAACCAGTCCTCCACTGTGCAGTCCTGAGGGATGGAGGCCACAGCTAGGGCCTGGACACCACAGGGCTGGATCCGTTCTGGAAGAGCCCAGCTGGGTCCCAGTGCCTAGCCTCCCTCCTCCCAGAATCCTTCCTGGTCCCCATCCCAGACCCAGTGGCCTTGTCAAGTTCCCTTGGGTAGCTATCAGGGTAGCTTGTGCTCTGGACCTGACTGCCTGCCCAGAGGATCTCTGCAGACCCAGGAACAGGGCTGACCACAGGTGAGGAGAGCCACGTACGGAGAGCAGGTGATCTGTTCTGAAACCCTAGAGATTCATAGGTTCTTCCTCTTCCACCAGCTGCTCTGAGGGCCTAGAGTGGGACAAGGGAAGAATGTGGGAAGGCCAGAGGGCTGTGGGCAGGGCCTTAGTGACGTTACCCTCGTAGTCCTACTTCAAAGGCTGGAGACTATTAGTTGCATGAGAGTCTGGGGTCTTCAAGTTGGGAGGATCCAAGGGGATTAGAAGGCTATGGGCCTTGGGCTGGGGTTGTCTGGCATTACCTGTCTTCAGCCAGAATGCCCACGGAGAGTGATGCTAGTGCAGTCACGGCTTCTACTTCTGCATCAGCCCCTGGCACTCTGGGCAGCCAAGAGTCTGGACAGGAGGCCAAGCGCTGCATGCATCCCCAGTATTTCCCTAGGACAAGAAGCTGGGTCAGTTGGGAAAAGACAACCTGTTTGAGCTGTATCCTAGACTGATACCAAGGCTGGGGACATGGACCCAGAGCCCAAGAATAGTAGCCATGTCATCAGCTTGGGGTCAGTGCCCCTTCTTGCCCTCACTTCTCAGCCCTGGCTAACAATAGATTCAATATGGCTATGAGGACATCTTCACAGATAATCAAGTCCCTTTCCTGTCTTCCTTGGCTAAAACCCCACTCTAGAGATCTGGCAAGGTAGATCAGCAGTTGAGAACACTGGTTATTCTTCCAGAGGACCTGGGTTTGACTCTCAGCATCTACATGGTAGCTCACAACAATCTGAAACTTGGTTTCCAGAGATTCTGATGCCCTCTTCTTGCCTGTAAGGGCATTGCTCACACACGCACATAGTGCATAGCAGTACATGCAGACAAAATACCCATACATATATAAAAGTTAAAAAGTAAAAAAATAAGCCAGACACACACCTTTAATCTTAGCAATCAGGAGGTTAAGGCAGTTGGATCACTGAGTTCCAGGACAGCCAGGGCTACATAGAACCTATCTTAAAATAATAAATAAATAAATAAATAAATAAATAAATAAATACTGCTCCATAGGTGTGTGGATTCTAAAAGCACCAGGAGAGTCCATTTGTCCCTACATCAGGTTTATGTCAAGATTCCCTCATATGTGCCTTGGCTTCCTAGAGCACAAGGTCCCCTTCATGTGGCCTCCATAGTGCACAACCTACCCCTAGGAGGCCAGGCATGGTAGTAAATTCCTGTCTGAGGTAGGAGGATCAAACACTGGAAGGTAGCCTGGGATACATAGCGAGACCCTGTATCAAACAAAACTAAACAACTCAAGAGCTGGGATCATAGCTCAGCAGTAGAATGAAAGCTTAGCATGTACAAGATCCTGGGTTCAATCACTAGTACTGAAAAGGGAGTGTGTGTAAGACAATCACGGTACAGAGCGGGGGCAAGCATCCCCACAGCTGCTCTGCACAGTCACCTCTGGTTCTTGGAACACTCATCATCATCATCCTGCTGTTCTGAGATGGTGATGGACACGAACCAGTTTGGAGCAGAACCTGACCCATGGGAGGTTCCATAGGCAGCTATATCTGTGGTTATGTGTCTATTTCCCCAACTGAACCCAGATATAGGGAATCTGCCTTATTAATCATCGTATCCCAGTGGAGGTTAGGGGCTTTCACAGAAAGTGCCCAACAGATAGAAACCTATGTGCTGTGGAACTTTAGCATGTTTTCCAAATGTGGGCTCTTCTGAGATCAAGGTAGGCCCTCCCAACAACCTCTCCAGTCACTGTGACCAGCACTGAGGAGATTAAACCAAGCCTTTTGTTTCATTTTTCATGATAGGGTTTCTCTGTAGCTTTGGAGCCTGTCCTGGAACTTGCTCTGTAGATCAGAATGGCCTCGAACTCACAGAGATCTGCCTGCATCTGCCTCCAGAGTTTTGGTATTAAAGGCATATGCCACCACTGTTTGGCTTTAAACCAAGCCTCTTTTAAGCAACCAAGGCCTGAGTGTTGCTGTCATCCTGGCCCCTAGTCCAAGACTACAGCCAGAGATAGGAGGCCAGTTCCAGCCATAAGGAAGACACTGTTGTGTCCATGCAGGGTTCAACTGGAGGGCTAAGAGGTTACCCACTCATGAGGCTATGCCCACCTTTATTCCTAGAGTGGTTCCTGAGAATCCTATTTGGAACTGTCAGTGTGCTTCTGGCATGGCTGGCACTGGATATCTGAGAACTTTGCCAGTGGGACGGTAGACTCTGAAGTCTTTCCCAAGTTAGGACCCAGCAAGTATCCCAGGTCAAAACTCACTGTGCACCCTGATCACAGCTTCCAGAGAACGGATGGCATTGGGGTTGGGTTTCTGTTTCCAGCCTTCTTCTGAAAAGGGATCCACCTACAGAAACATTTTATCAGGGACCCGAGGGACCCCAGGCTCAGCCTGCACAAACAGACACAAGCTGCTGGCTCTCTGAGGTCAGAAGACACTGGCCCTACACCATCTTGTTCCATCCCACCTCTTCCCCTCTTATCTACCTGGTCTTTGTCTGGGAACTGTGGGAGCCAGGCTCATCTGCCTCATTGAAGTACAGATGGCCGGGGGTCAGCAGGAGAGCTTACCTTGTTGCCCAGAAGAGCAGCCACACAGGCCTCGGAGGCATCGCAGATGGCTGTGAGGTCATGGCCACCCTCTAAGGCCAACACCACTGCGCCTCCTGCCAAGGTCATCAGCTGCTGTGTCATGTACCCAAAACCTAGATGGTTGAGGCAGGAGCAAGAGTAGTGGGCTGGAGGAGAGGCAGGACCCATTCCCTACCCCAGCCATTTCCCTGCTTGCTTCCTCCTTTGTAGACAATGTCTAAAAGATGAGAACCCCAGGCAAACCCCATTCATGCACTTCATCCCAAGCTCTGAGAAGTTAAGGGTCTTCTCTACAAGGTCCCACTGCTAGAAGGTAGCAGGGCTAAGGCTTGAACCCAGCCTGAGTCTCACTGGGCCACCACCAACTCTTTGTTCCCAAGCCCTGTGGCAGCGTGGACGACACTGACATGTGTTCAGAGTCCGCAGCTCTTCTAACTTCGGCTGACAGCTGAGTCTGGAAGCCTGACTTCTCCAACTGGGCTTCCATCTGGCAGACCTAAGTCTCCAGGGGCCTGGTCCTGAGAAGTAGCCTGTGCTGTTCTAGGCTGGGAGAACCCAGGGAATTCCAGGGCCTGCAGCCCTACTTCAGACCTTACACCACGTGGCCCTGGACTGTGGCCGCTGCTTCCTGTCCCTCTCATTTTGGCAGTGCATTCCTGTCCCCACACAGCCTGGCTCTTATTTCCCAAATCTCCCCCACAGCTGGGCCCCCCTTACATTTGGCAGAAACATGGTAGCCACCCAGTGGGGCCGGGTGACCCTCGGCAGCATCAAAACCAGCAGACACCAGGACCAGGTCTGGAGCGAACTCTCGGGCAATGGGCATCACCACTATCCTGAAGTTGCAAGGAGAAGCATCAGCCACCTGGGGCCTAGCACAGCCCATGCTAGCCCCTCCTGAGGGCACCTGTCCTTAGGACACCAAGACAATCTCCTAATGGGATCAGCAGATGCCCTGATCTCCTTCAGCCTGCCTATGGCTCTGGTATACACCAGCCTCAGAACTCAGCCATACCGATAATTTAACAAGCAAGGGGCAGAATATGATGGGATGAAAGAAGTGTGTGTGTGTGTGTGTGTGTGTGTGTGTGTGTGTGCGCGCGCACGCACACTCATGCATGCATGGTGTGAAGCTCATACAGCCAGCTGCATTTGGGCTTTGGTCACTAAAGCCTCAGGGACTGAAAACACTCAGTTGAGCACACTATGTTTAGAGTTGACCTGGAAGCTTGCCACCCGAGAGTGACCAGGATGACTACACCTGAGGTCCTGGGCTGCCAAGCTCTATCCTTTATCTTCTTCCCCCTGCCTGTCCCTAACACCCCTAAGCCAATGCTGGTATCCATTTAGTCATTTAAGCTCAACACAGACACTAGGAAGTCCCACTCAGGGACCCAGCAGAATTAGTTCTCATGCAGAGAATCTCCAGAAAAGGACTTCCAGGTCCAATTGTAAGGTTCCATTTTCCCTAGAAACAGACAGGAACCTGGAGTGAAGGATACAAGGGGCCCTTATAAGAGCCCAAACAGTTTTCTAAAGTCAAGCCATCCCTCCATGTGTATAGCACTTCAGGGCACCAAGTGTCCACTCTTGCCAGAGACTACCACCTCCAGGCTTTGACTAAATGTGGCAGTTTTGCCCTACCCAAAGGTACCCAGGATGTGTGACTCTGACTTTCCCATTCTTATATGTGTCCTATTTTCTTATTGGAGCTGGCTTACAATGTCTAGTAACCAAGGGTGAACAGATCAATGAGCCAACCAGTCGCTTCCAACCTAGGGTTGTGGCAAAGGGAGGAGAGGCAGTCTTGCTGGACTGGTCTCCTCTAGACCCAGAGTACTTACCTGAAGGCAGCCAGGTACTCGGGATCCCCCATGGGTAGATCCAAACCCCCAGCCCAAGCCACATTGACATTGAAGCCTTCGCCATTGCCAGTCCCCACCTGGAAAACAAGACGTAAGGAAGACATGAGGAGAACAGAGTTCTAAGCTCATACAACTTCACTTCCAGATATGGAAGCCGAGGTTCAGAAAGGATAAGCCACTAGCTCAGGACCACACAAGACGGGTGTAGAGGGTTCAGGAGGAAAATCAATGTGCTGGAAGATGCTGACCCAGCCTGCAGTTACCTCATCCACAGCCCCACTGCCTGGGAAGAAGTTGCCATCATCATGGCGATGCAGGGAGATGTACAGCACGCTGGGGTCTTGGTAGAAAGTTTGCTGTGTGCCGTTGCCATGGTGAACATCCTGCACAATACAGCAAGGCCATGGATTAGGGAAGATCCCGAAGCAGAAAGATGGAGGTAAGGACACACTGGAAGCATTTCAGGGTCGGTAACCATTCTGAGTATTGGGACACTTGGCTGGTGGGGTCAGGAAACTAGTTTCTAGGATCACATGACTGCATTGCCCCCAAGCAATCTACTGTCCGGCAGTGATCCCCATCTCCACATGGAAAGACTTCCTGTCTTGAGACACTGCAGTTAGATGCATACACTATAGAGCTAACTGGCCTGGACTCCAATCTTGTCCTTGCATTTCAAGAGGTGAGTGGCTATTCAAGATGGTAATCTCTGTACGTACTTTCCTCATCTGTGAGATGAGCTACTGTCAGGACCAGATATGAAATTGTCAGCATCTAGATATGACTGGGGATATACTGATGCTATCGATGTGACTATTACAGTTACTGTGTGGAGGGGAAAGGGCTCACTCTGCCAAAAAAGAGGTAAAAGACAGCACCTGAGAATTCCTATTCCCTGTAGAAGCCTATGAACAGCAGCTTTCCACAAATGAATTCTTTCTGGGCCTCCTGACAGTTCTGTGATGCAGGTGCTGCATTCTCCTACTCTTTAATAAGGAAGAGGCTAATGCCACATGCAGCCACATCTCTAATGCCAGGCTCAGGGTTTTGCCAGAAGGCCTGGGTGCCTGGGGACACTAGAAATCGGAACCTACCCAGTCAACAATGAGGATCTTGCTGGCCTTGCCTTGCTGTTGTAGCTGTCGACAGGCAATGGCTACGGAGTTGAAGAAGCAAAAGCCCCTGGAAGAAGGAAAGAGGGTCCTGCCAGCCCATTCCCCCATCCCTCTGCCTACAGGAAGGCTCTGAAGGCCACCCCAACCTCACACTACACAGGCCCGCCGCCTCCCCAACGCCTTACATGGCTGTAGAATGATCTGCATGGTGTCCTGGGGGCCGTACCACAGCAAAACCATTCTGCAAGGGGAAGGGCACTTATTACTCCAACAGCCACCTTTCAACCCGCATTTGTCTGAGCCTGCTGCTCGGCCCCAGCCGCTTTCTCTAAGGAGTAAAAGGCACGAGTGCCGGCATGTCCCACTGAAGTGTCTAGACATTAATATATAATGCATTTGCCTCTCACAGCATCTCTAGACCATAAATGTTATCATCATCCCCAATTTGAGAAATCAAATCACAGTGAATTAAATAACCCAAGTTATGTAGCTGCAAATAGTAGTATTGGGATTTTAAACCCAGGGTGCTTGCTGAGCGCTTACAAAGCCCTTATGATGCCAAGGGTACAGTGCCTGCCTTGGGCTATGAGCTCTCAGACAATGCTGCTGTGTGCTTCAGGTGGATCACCCCAACCTAGTATGCAGGATGCCATCACTAAAAGGAACCAGTTGGCCTGTGGTACTCAAAAATGGCCATGATGCACCTATAGCCATGACATAGGTCTTAAGTGATCTTGGGTGGTCAGGACTATCTAAGGCCCTAGTGCCCAGTAGCTTTGATTACCTAAGTGACATGAACTTAAGAGTCAAGCCTCATCTTGGTTTCAGCCCTGACTTCCCTTTCAAAACCATGTAGCAATAGCAACGAGAAATGAGAGATCTAGACCTGCCACCATCACCCCAGCACCTCCTCTGTAGTTTACCAGCCTTTACCTAAAACTTCCTACCTTTAGCTCTCGGGAAGCTACTTTGAAGGCAAGGTCGGTGACACTGCCTGCAGCCCAGCGGGCTGCATTGGAGGAATGCAGCTCGTTCCAGATGGTGTCAGTATCTACCTGTAGGGGCCGGGGTCAGGGACTGCATCATCCTATGCTTTCCACAGGAGACAGGGCCCCATGAGGCAGTACCCACCCCATGGCCAGGACCCCAGGGGCAGGGAGCTGGGCAGACAAAGCTGCCTCCCCTGTGCCCCACCGCCCAAAGGCAAGGCCTCCTGTGTTCCCCAGTCCCAGTAGGACTTCTTCCCAGCACCAGCTCGTATGTGGCCAGCACTCTGCCTCCCCAGTCAGGGGAGGGGGCATGGCGTTACCTGGGCGGGATTGGGGTTTGGGCCGGGAGGGGTTTTAAGCCCCAGCTGACTCTGCTCAGGCCCTGCAGGACGGTCGGAGCTGGAGGGGCCGTCTGCACCACTGTCTTCCACTCAGAGCCCCTAGCCCAGGCTGGGAGGCCCCCCAAACCCAGTCCCTGGGCCTCAAGGCTAGGGAGGGGCCGGGGGCCATGATGGGGAGATGGGAAGGGCGAGGCGGACCGAGAGAGGCGAGGAAGGCAGAAAGAGTCGCAAGAGGCTGGAGAAAGAGAGAAAGAAAGGACAGAGAGGGAGAGGAGGGAGGGGAAAACAGAAGCAACAATAGTTGGAAAAACCAGAAAGTGGCAAGAAATGGGGAGTTGTGAACAGGGCACTGACTGTCTCCCCAACAGCCCCCCCTGGCAGCTTCCACTGCCCTCAGCCTCCATCTCATCTCTACACACCTTGCCTGGCACCATGACAGGGACCTTTTGAGGCAGGGAGGGCCATGCCAGTGGTAGCAGAGAGACCTCTGACAGGTGAGGGAGAGTCGAGCAAAGCTAGAGAGCTAGGGCTGGAAGGCTGTGTCCTGGGTAGGGACATTCTAAACCTCTAAGTACATGGGAGGTGCCCCACAGCCCCACACTAGGCAGTACTAGGTCTGGATATCAAGTAGGGTACACCTGGAGCGCCCACTCCTGGGACACAATCTCAAGGCCCAATGTGACCCTGCCTTGGGCCTCACTCAACATCTACCAGACACCTAACTGTGAAGCATGGGCTCCACACTCTCTGTGCATCTATCACAAGGGGTTTCCAGCCAGCAGAAGAGCATAATGGGAAAGGCCCTGGCAGAACCATAAGTCACAGATGGCAGAGGAAAGCTAAAAGCCCTTAGCAATGCCCACTTGAGCTCGCTCTCTGGGCATACTTACCCCAACCCCGCCACAGGGTAGCATCACAAACATCCGCTGTGCCAGGAGTCCTGTGGGGAGAGGCCCCGGTCACATGAGTGAGGAACACAGAAGCCCTAAGAAGAGTGTATGGAGGGAGAAGCAATACAGGGAGATATGGAGATGGGTGGGGGTGGAGTGGGGGGGGGCAGGACACATGGACAGGACAACACCAAGGCAGCACACTGATGGGGGTTATCCAGGAAGCTGTGCGCAACTGAGGCAAGCGCACAGAAATGGGTGAGGCGGGCGAGCCTGGGGTGATTTGGGGCCAGACATCATTCAGATCCCTCCCCTACCTGTCAGCTTCCCATTATCCAGTTTGAGGCGGCTGAGGGGGTTGGTGCCGTAGAGAAGTACATGCCTTTCAGAGTGGACTGATTGCAGCTCCTCTAGAGAGGCCTTTCGGCCTCGGAGACACTGAGAAGAGAGCCCAGAGGTCCCGAGGTTTACTCACCCCTGCCCTTCTGCCACCACCAGACCACCCACGGTCTCGCCCCTTGCTGATCCCTTGCATAGCCCCACTGCCTTGCCTTGCCTCACCTCACACCGGCTGCGGAGACCCCGCTCCTGCAGCCGGGACCAGATGCTCTGGATGCGGCCTGCATGCTCCGGGTGTTTGCTGTTGTCTCCACAGGAGCACTGGTGCTTCAGCATCACTGAGTCATAGACCAGCCCTGTAAGAAACAGCTGTCCGTCAAGGCTGGAACTTGCAGTGGAGGGACAGATGGAGAGCAGCCCACGCCCACAGAGCCAGGCATGTACACATCCCTTGCTGTCATATATGTCTGCATTCCCTTCCCAGCCTTCTGTGGAGAGCTAGACCTGTCTCTCTATGCCCATGCCTAAATGCATCAGACAACCTGATGTATACACCAGGGCAGTACCAGCCTACCTTACTCTGCATGAGCCCTGTCTTCTTGGTATTCTTACTCCCTATAAGGCCCTATCCATCTCCTATGCCCTTGAGAGTTCATGCCCTAAACCCAGAGAGACTTAACACAGGACATCTCCCTCTCAGCGTCACAAACCCACACAGGGTTTGTGTCCCAACACAGAGAGGAAAAGCAATTAGAGGGAAACCTCAAGACTGGGAGAGGGGATACCCACAATGTTACTGGCCATGTGGTCAGTCTCCCAACTGCACATGGAAAACACTAGTTTACCTTGTAAACATTATGCAAATAGCACAAAAACTATTTACATAGCATCTATGTTGTACTAGGTATTAAAAGCAAAATAGAAGTGATTTAAATATGTGGAAAGATATGTATAGGTTACATGCAAATACTATGCTGTTTTACATGAAGAACTTGAGCATCTGTGGTTTCGGTGCCTTTATAAGCTGGGCTGGGGTCCTAGAATCAACCCTTTGAGGGACTGATGGCTTTCAGCCTAGCCCTAGGGAGGTTTCTAGAAACAGGCCCTATACATGCACTGCTGGTGGGCGGGGCCTGGGCCTGCACATCTCAGGGTACAACGGACTTCAAAATGCTCACACTACTTGACCCAGGAAGGCTACTCCTTAAGTGACCCTAGAGAGATAGTCCCAGGCAGAAGACAGGACTGAAACATTAGAAAATTAAAGGCCAGGTGTTGGTGGCTGGTGCCTTTAATCCCAACACCTGGGAGGCAGAGGCAGGTGGATCTTGTGATTTCTAGGCCAGCCAGGATTTCATAGTGAGAGTCTATCTCAAAAACTAACAAACAGAAGCACATTAAAACTAAAGCTGGGCTATGGTGGCACATGCCTTTGATTATACCACTCAGGAGGCAGAAGAAGGTAGATCTCTGAGTTCCAGGTCAACCTGGTCTACAGAACAAGTTCTAGGGCAGCTGGGGCTACACAGAGAAACCCAGTCTTAAAACAAAAACAAAATGAACAAAACAACAAACAAAAAGAAAAAAAGAAAAATTAAAACAAAACAAAAAAAAATTGAATTAAAACTGAGCTGGGTGTAGTGCTTCACACCTTAATCCCAGGACTTGAATTCTTAGCACCATTAACAAAAATTAAAAAGGACTCAGTCAAGCAGTGTGCAAAATATAGCTGACATGTTCGTCATTAGACACTGGACAGGTATGGAGGCTAACTAAAACCTAGAATGAAATAGAGCAATACTTAGGACAATAAGGTACTTGGTGATTTTTTATTATTCTATTTCCCGGTATTTCTCAGAAATGTTTGAAATACTTTTGAGCTCTTTTTACAAGTACAGCAATGGAAAGTGATGTTTTTACTTTTGTTTTAAAAGGGCTGGTTATGGTAGAAAGAAACTCAAATTCCTGCCCTGGTCCCCGACTGCCAGTTTTGCTGTTTAACTGTAAGTTAGGTTAGGTTTCCTGAGTTGTGATGTCCTCACCTGTTTCATGGGCACCTCGGAGCTCAAACAAGATTAAGGTAGTGCTCTCTGGTCTCTAGGACTGTCTGGAAAGCCAGCTCACAGGTGTGGCCTCATGCCCCAGCCACTTCCTTCTGCCTCCCTGAGTCCTCTTCGTCTTACCTGTGGCGGGTGTCTCTGAGCTGTTGAGGACTTGGGTCTGACAGGTGGGCTCTGGGCTCAGCAGGGAGACGGGTGCCGCTGGCGAAGACTGCGTTCTAGACAGGGGCCGGTGTCCTACCTGGGCCAGAGGTAGCAGGGCAGAGTCGCCAGAGCTTCCCTGGGAGAGCCGCCCAGCGAGATGCTGCTGCTCCCAGAGTGGTGCCTGAAAGAAATATGTCCACAGTCTCCAGTTTCTCAGATTTGGCCACCCAAGGACGAGGGACTCTCCAGAAAGACCCTTTTCTAGAAAAATTCCAGATGTGGGTTCTGTCCTTTCCACTCTCTGAGCTCCCTGAAGACCAGCACCCAGACTGATGCTCTAATATTGCAAAAACTCCTTTTGGCCCTGAGTCTATGCTTACTGAGATCACCTCTCCCAGGACTGTGCTACTAACCACAAGAGGACCTGCCTGAGACACTAAATGCATGTGAACTGTTTCCCAGATTCATAAAGTCATAAGCTCTCATCTTCGGAGATAAGGTCTATGCAAGGGGAATAAGGTCTTCACTGAAGAGGGTGGCTGTCCTTGTAAGACAGGCAGAGAGGCCTACAGACACTCCTTCCTTCACAGTCCTCAGCACACACACCCCCACCCCACCCACATACACCTCGATTTCACCCTTTCAGCCTTCAGAGCTTCAAGGTGAGCAATATCTGCCTCTCCAGGCACCTGTGTATGTAGTTGCTGTGCATTGGTCCTGACAAATGAACACTGTCGACCCCCGTGCTATTAATCTAGAGCCCAGGGGACTACTATTGCTCTACTTTTTGCCCCAGATATCTTTGGATTAAAAAAAAAGACAACCGGTTGCGGGGAGAAATGTGAAGGGAGGAGTATGTGTGGCTGTGAAAGGCCAAGAAGCAGATAAAGGAGCAGGGTGTACTTGAGAAAGCATGCTGCTGGAGTATAAGTGCACATGAACACACACACACACACACACACACACACACACACACACACACACACGAGTGCATGTGCATGCATGCCTGCATCAGCACCTTGGTGTGGGTCTTATGGCACCCCCTTCCTTTCCTCATCCTATGCTGAGCCCCAAGTCTTCTCACTGAACTTTCTGCAGAGCCCTTGGGCACAGCCATACCTGTTGGTGGTGCTGCAGAGAAGCAGGGCCTCTGCCCAGGTGAGGCCCGTGGCCTGACTCCCTGTGTTCCAGGCCATCATTCACCACAGGTCCCACTCCCCCACCATCTGTCTCTAGGTCCTCAGCTGAGGGTATCTGCTGCAGTCGGGGCTTCTCACTCGGCTTGGCAGGCCTCTGGGGAGGGGAGATGGCTGTCTGAGAAGTGGGATAAAGAGGAGGGTGGGTGGCAGGGCATGGGTTGGGTGAGGCCACATCCATCTTGCTAGGTCTTCTACAGCAGCCACTTCTCTCGTCTTCCAGTCCTTCCTTTCCTCCCAAGTGCCCTTCCTCCAACCCACAGGGGCTCAGGTAGGCACACCCTTAGTACCTCCCTACCCAGTTATTCTCACCTTGATGAGCTGGACATGAGGTTTGAGCCGATCCTGGCGATCCTGGCGGGGCTGCAGGGGGCCCAGCAGAGGAGAGGCAGTGGCGCTGGGGGGCAGGGGCTCTGAGCGGGTCCGGTTAAGTGGCCGGTGGAGGCCTGACCCGGAGAGCCGCTCGGTGGTCAGTAAGGGCTGGGCAAAATGGAAGGGCAGGGGCCCAAGTCCAGGCACTGGAAAGAATGGGACATATGTGAGGAAGGGAGCCGGGAAAGAGACAGGGGCATGGAGTGGAGGCCGAACTTGGCAAGGAGATATGGACAATGAGGGACCAGAAGGTGGGTCTTTCCCAGAGCTTGGTCCCTTGGCAGCATGCACAAATCCTGCCCATTCTTGGAGAAGCTGCAAGACTCACCAGTCCACAGTGGGGCATGGGACACTGAGGGATCCAGCAGGAGAATGGGCTGCAGCCGGGACGGTAAGGTGCCCCCAGCCTCTGGCTCTAGACCATGGTGCAGGAAGAGGGGAGCATGAGGGCTCCCCAGGACAGGACCCCGAGGGCCCAAAGTCGAATGGGTCCTGCGGTCACCATCCGCCTGAAAGAAAGGTAATAAGTTAGAGTTGGACAGGTTTCCCAGAGAGGAAGATAAAGGTAAGGCAATAGGATACAGGCAGGAAAGAGGCCGGAAAAGCGTGGAGTGGGGGCAGGGTGCCCCAGCCACTCACCCTGGCAGGGGCAGGCAGCCCCAGTGTGATTGCGGGCAGCAAGGACATTGTCGGCAAAGCGAACGGGGCCAGAGAAGTCTCCTGCAGCCGCAGCCGCTGGCCCAAGAGCGCCTGCCATGGGGAGCAGGGTGACGGGTCACCAGTCCTGGAACGCTACCCCTGATATGCCTGTCCCCAGAATACCCCACAGGCCCTGCTAGGGACTGCCCAGAACCTGAAGCCTCAGGCCAGGCCAGGCCACATGCTGGAAAAAGGCCAAGACTTAGAACTGCCCCAGGAAAGCCCAGTCCCAGCAAGGCCTTACCTCCGAGCCCAGGGCGGGGTTGGGGCCATGCTCGCTGTCATTGGGGGAGCTGCACCCTGAGGCAGGCGTGCTGCTACTACTGGGAGAGGAATCTAAGGGGAGATAAGAAAAGAAGGCACAGGCAGGGTCAGGAGTGGTCAACCTTGTGCAAGATTCCCAGTCACAGTTCCTCCCCTTCTGGGATGTGTTTCCGCTTTCTTCCGAGAGGAACAGAAAGCTGCCAGACCATCACTAGCCTACAGCATCTCTGAACAGTTGTTTGCACGCAGCTCCCATTCCCCCCACCCCCACCCCCACCCGCAAATGTCAACTTAGCAGACCCAATGGGGCTAGGCTTTAGCCTCAGCTAGCACTCTCACAGGCAGGGGTGTGAGATACACCCACCCTGTACAACACTTAGCAGTCCCACATGGCAACTTCCATCTGGGTGGAACCTGGCCCAAAGGAACGACACCAGCGAGTGAGGAGGGCAACTCCATGGCCCTGTGGGCCCTACCTCCTAGGGTCTCTGCAGGCCTCCGCCGAAGGCTGGGTGGGGCACTCTCCTTTCTGAGCAGGGGATTCTTGCGCCGCTCCAGGGACTTCTTGGGCTTATAGCGCAGCTTCAGGTTCGGCTCAGACACTGCAGGGGAACAAGTCCATCACTATGCCAGCTACCCTTCTCCACTCTACTCTTGTTTTGTTTCTGAGACAGGGTCTCACTATGTAGACTAGGCTGGCCTTAAACTCCCAGGGATCCACCTGCTTCTGCCTCCTGAGTGCTGGGACTAATGAATGGTGTGCATTACCATGCCAGACCTCTTTTGTGCCCTTTAACTTCCCTCCCAGCTACCTCTATGGGTTGAAGAGAAAAAAGGCAAAGCCAGAGGAAAGGAGCCTAGTGTACCAACCATCGCAGCCCTCCCGCAACCCCATACTCCTGACCTAAATCTAAGGCCCTTGGCCTACTCTAATCCCTGGAATGCTCTGCCCCCTCACCTGTTTTACGTAGGGGAAAGTGTTCCGGGGCTTCAGTGGGCAGGCTGGGAACCGCAGGCAGGAAGTTGGTAAGCACGGAGCGGGCAGCACCCTCTGTGTCCAAGGGCTCAAGGGTTCTGTAGGGATGAGCGTCAAGGCTACTTCAGAAGCCTGGGATGCCCAAAGGCCCTGAAATCTCACTCTGCACAGATGCCTTCCTGAGCTCAGCCACCAACAGAGCTGGGCAGTGTGGAGCCAGCATGACAGGAGTCATCTCCAGGTGGCAGTAGTGGGTCACCCCGTGCTAACATACATGTTCTGTTCCAGGTATAAAACCCAGGCTTTGGAGCTCAGGGCCTTCTAGAGACTCAGTGTAGCCAGGACTTCTGTGCATGTGAAGGGCTTGAGGGGAGAGGAGGGCATGTCCTCGCTGAGGGGGACTTGGGGGCCCATGTTTAGGCGCAGAGTAAGAAGCAGGTGGTAGGTGTTGGGGAGGAAAGGGGACATGGGTTCACTCACTCACAGGTGAGTGTGTAGGGAGAGAAGAGGCGGTACAGAAAGGACCTGAGGGATGGTGAACTACCTGTAGGGAATACTGGGGCTGTTGGGATGGACTGTTCGCTCAAGGGCTGCCTGCTGTTTCTTCAGGATCACCTCAGCCAGCTTCTGCTTGACCACGCTGCTGGCTACAGCACCTGCAGCGGCAGAGAAACGAGAAGGCTGGCAATGGGGAGGTAGGAAGCCTCTTAGGCACATTCTCTGCCCACTGTCCAGGCCACATGTCAGTACGCCATGTCTCAGGGACTCCTCAGGCAAGAGACCTTCGCCTGAGGCCCACCTTCCTGTAAAGCCCATAGACACTCCCACCCCTCCCCCACTCCCGCTCGTAGGCAGAGAAGAGGGCATCCCAGTAAATGGTGACCCCCCACACACCCCTCCCACACCCATGGTGGACGCTGACCACCAGGCAGAGAACGGGGAGACAAGCTTCACTCTTACTTCGCTTGCTCTTGTCTTTATTGAGAAGTTGCCGAAGTTCCTGTTCCTGCTGCCCCCCCTGCAGCTCCGGCACTGGTGGGTCCATTGAGAGCTGTGGACAGAACCAGCAGCTCAGGGACGGCAGGGTAAAGGACAGAGTCAAGGTCTGGGGAAGCTGGGATGTGCCTAGGGAGTTGTCTTTACCCTCATGGGCTCAGCTGAGCGCGGTTGCTGTTGCAGGCCGGCCAGGAAGAGATGGCGGTGCAAGCGCTGGGGATGCTGCAGGGCCAGCAGCGCAGGCTCTGGTGGGGGCTCCACTGTGGGCCGCTGGCCCACGCGCAGGTCCATGGGCTGGGGCTGGGAGCCTGGTATGTCTGGCTGAAGGGCAGGGCAGCCTGGGGATACACAGCGAGTCAGGTGGAAGGCTAGTCTGCAGGAACTCGGTCACAGACTACTGAGCCCTCTGTAGAAACAGCCTCAGGGGGGCTTTTCCTCACATAAGCCGGGTCTACGAGCTACAGGTGGCTCCTGGATTCCATTTTACCTGTGAGAAAGGAGGTCTACAGACTACAGACACGCTCCCTTCCGATTGTTGATGGCTAGAACTGAGCCATAGGGCTGTAAGCAAGGCATCTTCCCCCTAGGATACTTTCCCACTGACTTGGAGCTAAGGCTACAGCGTTTCCTCAGATGATGATACAGTTCTAGGCTCTCTACTCTGTTTGCCTTTGTCCTTCTGTCCTTCTAGGAATGTCTGCTTGGCTCAGGGTGGGAGAGACCATGCAGGTAACCGGGCCCACTCTGTCCAGCCCCCAGTTTCACGGGCCTCACACACCTCAGCTGACATCCTCTCATCCCCATGCTCTGCACCACTCTGGTCCTTGGGATCCAGATATAGTGCCTGGAGCTCACAAGCAGCCCTGGCTGGCCACCTAGGGCCTACAGAGCCCTGCATTCAGGGCAGGCTCCCCAGCTCACCAGGCCCATGAACTTGTGGTGCAGACTCCTGCTTCCCGTTCCAGCCAGCTGTGGGCCTGGCCTGGCAAGGACAGCAAGCTCAGTTGCTTCTTCGCCAGTGTCCTACGCACCCACGCCAGGAGCACCTCGCCAAGGCCGTGGGTGCAGGAGCTATTTATAGCTCACCAGCAGACCAGGGTCAGTGCCAGCATAGCCAGCTGGCCAGGCTGGGCTAAGCAACCCAGCATGCTGAGATGCTGAGAGGTAGGGCTGCTGCAACAGCTGGGAGAGGAGGAGGGTCCTGGGGAAGGGAAAGGATGAGAGTACAAGAGAGGAGAAATTCCCCTCAGGGGCCTTCTTCAGGCATCCCCTAACAGAGCAGCCATGCTATCCTGGGGCGGGGGTGGGGTGAGGGTGGGGGTGGCAGAGCCCTCTGGCACTGACTGGGAATGGGACAATCCCCAGCAAAACACCAATGGGAGAGTCGGGAAATGTGGCCTGTGGTCTGATGCAACCATAGAAATCATAACTTTAACATCCGTGGTGCATGCATGCAACCAAACCCCCTCAGCTCCCAGTCTACCTGCCTGCTACCCTTTATCCCTCAGGAGCCAACTGAGGTCCCTGTGTGAGGGGGACTGCCTAGAGTCACCCAGCAAGGGGCAGAGAGAGGATGCAGTCTAGCCCTGTTAAGGCCAATCCTCCGTTTTCCCACCAACACTCAGGAAATCGCCTCCCTTGGAAGTGGCAAGAGAAGAACTCATGGGACGCTGTCACTAAGGGGTGTCACTACAACACTGACTGTGAGATGGACATGAAAAAGAGTCGAGCCAGGCCTACTGTGGCCCTCTAGTCACTTAGCAACTTGAGAGGATAACTGTGCATCCAGATGCCACCCCTAGTAAACAAATGCCAGGACTTCGTGCCCTCACTCCTGTTCATACGGCTGCCCAAGAAATCATTCTGGCTGAGTATGGGCCTCCACTGGCAACATAGCCCTGACCCACAAGAGACTTGTCTTCCCTAGTTCCGGTGTAGTGGCTTCCTGAGGTCATTCCTTGATGGTGCAGGGTGCTTTATACCTGAGGCCTGTGGCTTCAGCCACAGCAAACTAGGAGCAGCCACCTACGAGCTGCCACCATCCTTCACTCAGCATTACTATTGCCAGTGCAGAAGAATGCCAGGAACAGAGGACAGCCTCTGTTCTGAACTTTGGGAATGCTTGTCGAGGCGTCTTAGCATTTGGCAGGGGCCAGCCCTATGACAGGGTACAGGAGTGGGTAAGGTTCTCTGGGAATCCTCCATCAGGCATCTCCCCATGAACAACCCCCTCAACTTGGTCTCCTTCATGAAAACAAAGCCACTAACTCAGGCAGTGCCTTTTATCCCATAATAAACCCAGAACCTTTTCTCCCTGCTCTTTGGCTCACAATGTCTCCTCACCCCTACATTCTATTTTCCCAAACCTCACCTAAGTGCTCAAAGCCCAGCTGGACCTAGGCCAGAGTGCGGCACCTCTTCCTCCTGGGGTCCATGCTGGCTGCACACAGCACTAGAAGCTGTCCAAGGGAAGGACCATGCCTGGGATAAGCTCCAAAGGTTGGCTTTGGTTTGCCATTGTTCATCATCCCAGGACTTAGAATAGTATAACCTGGCGTAGCAGACGCTCAATAAACATAGAATCTTGGGGAAATCTCGGTATTTCTCCTGGGAGGCCTAGGATGGTTCACAGAGATGAGGTTCATCAGATTTGAAGTGACAGGATAAACTAACGAGTCAGGTTTCTCTCATTTAGCACAGGTCACATGTTACTACCACTGGTTTTGTTTTTTGTTTGTTTATTTGTTTTTTTTTTTTTTTTTTTTTTTTTTTTTGGTTTTTTCTTTTCTTTTCTTGTACATCCTGTCTTCCCCAGCTTTAGGACAGCTGAACTAAGGTCCTCTGGCCCTTCAGTTCTCAGTGCCATGCAGAGTGACTATGTAACTCGGTAGATCCGGGAAGAGTGAATGACAGCAAAAATGGTCTAGGACCGCAGGGAGGACCCAGAGAAAGCCATCTCACCACTGACAGACATCACTCTTCCCTGAAGAGGACTGAATGACTTGAAAACAAGAGCACATCTCTCCTAACCTGGATCCAAAAATACTTGTCCTTATTTTTCTGGAGACCCAACTTTGTCCCTTGCTTAGGACCCCAATCTTCTAAGTCTCTGGCCCAGCAACATCCCTGCCTCTTCAAACCCTCAGGCCTCACTTTTCCCAGGTCATTTCCATCCCTCATTGTCATCCCCCACCAACCAATCTCTCTTAGGCCCAACTTTTACAGGTGCTAGGACCCATCTGTAGATATTGGAGAGGTAAAGGTGTGTCTGGGTGTAGGGCTACTGCCCCTGGAGAGGGCAAGTCCCCTGCCACTCCAGGGTGGCTAGTGGGATCTCCAGCTTCTGCAGCCAGCTATTGAGTGACTCAGCTAACTACTCCACTGCTTGGGCAAGGTGTACAAGAACTCCAGGAAGCCCCAGCTCACCCAACAATGCCCTCAGCTCTCCCTGATGTGGTCAGATACCATCTTCCCTGGGCAGCCAAAGCGCATTCCCAACAGCCTGAGGGGGAAAAAGCAGGCTGGGAGGTGCATGAGGCCAGAAGTGGGAGCGTGTGGCCAGGGAGAGAACCAAAGGAGAGCAGGCCCAGAGGTGCAGAAAGTAAATGTCTGGGACAGGAATGGTCTTCTCATTGGAAAAGGTCTGGGCTGTGGCCTCAGGTCAGGAGAGGTCAGGTAGGAGCTGTGAAGTAGGGGAGACACACCCCAAGGACCCCAGTGTAGGACCCTGAACTCTAGCTGTCCCATTCTGTTGTCTTGCCACCTTGATTGTCCAAGAAAAAAGATCCACTAAGCCCTTCTGAGATAACCTGAGCTAGGAATCTTTCCTTTGGAAATGGCTGCCTTTCCTGGGCTCCTAAGCCCACTTAGAATCCACAAAACTTCAATAAGACCTTGGGTTATTTGGCAACAGAAAGACCCAGGCAGGCAGGGAGGGGGAACCAGGTGTAAGTTCTCACGATACCTGCCCACAGTGAACACCGTTCTGCTACCACAGCTTGGGGCCAAGGGACTGAATCCCCCCACCACACACACACACACACACACACACACACACACACACACACACACACACACAAGGGTCAAGGAAACTGAGGGCTTTCCACAGGCAGCATTTAGTGGCTGTGCTCCTCAAACCAGACCTAGTACACAAGGCCATTCCTGAAGGGAGATGGGTGCTGCTTTCTGGGCCTATACTTAGCAGACAGCTCCAGGTAGGAGGGACTCAAACCAACGGCTGGTCATATGTTCGCACCCATTAATCCAGTCACCTTTGGAGGTCTGCCCACACCCGTGTGGGGACTATCTGCTCTCCTCACTTCTCATGCACTCACAATGTCCCCACACCTTGGCACAGCATTGATTATGGTATCGATGGTGGCATTTATCAGCCATCATCACCTGCAGGATAACATCTTTCAAGGCACATGAGGCCCTTTGGTACTGATGAATCACACACAGTGATCCTCTCCGGACTCCCTGCCTAAGACATGAATATTTCTCAAGGTTTGTGATCCCCAAGGAGCACCTATCCCAGAGGTTGCCTCCTCTTCCTAGGAATAATTTTCATTCTAGGTGTCTTGGGACCCCCTTTCTTCTGGAAGCCCCGGTCCTGAGAGATTTCTGCACTGACTCTTAGTGTGTTCCATGCATGGCCATTACTTTTGGTTGTTGACCTGACATGCCTGGGAAGAGAGCACCTCAAGGGAAGACTCACCTCCGTCAGACTGGCCCGTGGGCACGTCTGTGAGGCATTTCTTTTCTAATCACTAATTGATGGAGAACTGTCCTGCCATCCCTAGATGGGTGGTCCTGGGTTGCACAAGGAAGTTATCTGAGAGAGGCAGAGAGAGCAAGCAGGTAAGCAGAATCCTTCATGGTTTCTACTGCAGTGTCTGCCTCCAAGTTCCTGCTTGAATTCCCTCCCTGACTTCCCTCCATGATGGATGCGCTATGATGTGGAACCGAAAGCCAAATAAACCCTTTCCTCCTCCAAGTTGCTTTTGGTCATGGCATTTACCACAGCAATAGAAATAACACTGTCAGGCCCAGCCAGAGGTGCCTGCATTCTGGGAATTAACTTGCACTTCCCCCTGCCCTTGCCTTCACACTTACAAGCAGTGAGACCTTCCGTGCCTCGTGCCCCTGGTAACCACAGGTCTGGACACCACGTGCTCTATGGAAAGGAGAAGAACTCGTAACCTTGGGCCTTGTGGTTTGTTACGATGACTGAAGGGATAGTTTGTGGTGGTGACCTGTGACATAAGCTCTATTCAGAAGAGCCGCACGGATGTGTGCATGCATGCCAGTAAAGAGGCTGAATTCAAAAGCACTTTCT